TCAACTGGCGTCACGTGAGGCGCCTTCATGTCCGCCCTTTTATTGGGGGGTAGGAGGTGGGTGGTGATTTGGGAGAGCCTCGCTGGTGGGCAAGTAGGGGGAGTGAAGAAGGAAGCTGGTTCTTTGTCTCCGTATCTGCCAGCCCAGGGTCTGTATCCGGACCTGCCCGCGGGCTGCAGGCCGCTGGCTCAGGCGCCCTGGTGGCCGCTGTGTCGGGGCACCATCTTAAGTCAGCTGCTGCTCAGCCTGGGCCGAGGGCAGTTGTCCTGCCCCCATCCTGTGCTCGGCATGCGCTTTATTCCAGCAGATCCAGCCGCACCCAGAGACCCCCATCGTTTCTCTCCGTGTCCCGAGAAAGGTCGTGCTGCGCCCTCGCCCTCCCGCCTGCCCGCCCGCCCCCGGGAATGGGATTCTGTTGTGCCTTTGTTTTCTCACCTGCCTCCCCCTAAAAGCAACTGCTGTAAGCGTTCTCCCTCCTTGTCTTTTCTAGCCCAGGCCCCCTCCTTTTTCCTTTGTCCCAGCTGTGATCTCGGGGTGCAGCTTCTGTGCTCCAGGTACTGTCAGAACCAGTTACCTCAGACCTCACGTTGACAGTGTCACCGCCCGGGCTCTCGGTCCTGCAGGCCGGCCCCGTCCCCGGGCAGGAGCCCTGCCTCGCGTGGCCACGTGTGCGTTGCGAAGGGAGCTCCCCGCTAGGACCGAGGAGGGGGCTCCTGGCCAGCGCCCCATGCACTGCGGTCGGGGGGGTCTGGAGGGTCGCCCGCGCGGTGCTTCCCGAGTTCCCCTTCGAATTCTGCCGTTTTCAGTATTCCCGCGACTGGACGGGCAGAGGGGTCCCACGGACTGGGCTTGCACGTCCGGCCGCCCAAGCTCCCATGCCCAACATTCCTTTGAGTGGCAGGCGTCAGGCCCGCCCCCCACCGCAGTGCACGGGGGTGGGGTGGGGTGGGGTGGGGGGGGTCAGATGTCTGTGGCTTACTTTGCTGTGAAATTAGGCCTTTTGTGGGATATTGGCTGTTTTGTCGTTTTGATGTATTTTAAATAAATATATATATATTTTTTTTAAAGAGTCTTTTTTACCAGTTCAAAAAGTTTAATGAACCAGCAGTCACCACATCTGAATCTTCATCTCTGGGGCATGGATAGCAGACCAAGGTCAAAAGCGGTCACGGCCGTGTGCCTGTGGCGGCCTGCAGGCCATGGGACCTGAGGTCAGGGTTCCCGCTGGGCCCCTGCCCCGCCTTCATGGTGGGTGCATGGTCTCTGCCCTGCTCAGCGGACTGTGGATCTGGGTCCCTGCAAGTGCGTTAGCCCTGGGGTGGGGTGGAGGGGGGGTTTACTCCAAGCACTGCCAAGAGTTATGTGTATGTTTAGCCAAATAACTCCTCCTCGAGGGAAAAAACGCGCTCACCCAAACGCTACCAGCCACGGCAGAGATGAGAGTAGGAAAGATTAGGCAGCAGTTGGGTTTTGATTGGGGAAGCATCCAAGTCGCTGTCTGAGGCCATCGGAGAGCCGGTGATCGATCATACAGAGATTCCTGGGCGATCTCATCTGAAAGCGTTGAGACCTGCAGGGGGAGGATTGTGAAAATGCCAGTGGCTCCCCCCCCCCCATTCCCTTCCCCTATCCCCCTCTGCCCCTAGAATTCTGTAAAAAGGCAAAGAACATGGAGTGGTACTTGAGATTTGAGGGTGAGGGTTATTGCAGATTGGAAACGTATTTCTAGGTTTCAGTTCCGCGCCACAAATCAATACAATGCCATTTTCAACTGTACAAAAGAATCTGCTTATGGATTTGCCGTGATCTTAAGGGCAGCGTCAGAGGCCGAGTTTTTCACCTGTTCATGTTTCTCCACATTTGTCCTTGAATCTGAGTAACCACACAGTCCTGTAAGCCTAACTTCCGTCGCGTTTGATGTCCATTCTTGCGAAAAGAGCTCCTTCAGGTCACAGACTCGTAAAGGAACACAGCAGCGGGGCACACCATCTGCTGGATCGGTTTTGGAACCAGAGGAGTATTACCTCTCCTTTGCCATCTTCTACATTCGTTTTACCAGCGACTTCTCAAATTTGTACAATATCTGTAAGGAGAAGGGAAGCCCTAAGACTTGTCTAACTTAGTGGAGAATGTGTGTGTTGGGTTTAGGATGATAGCGAAGCCTGACTGAGCTGTGTTATCTAACCTGTATATAAAACACTGGAATTAAAAGTGTGGATTCACCTGTTCCTTGCCGTTTTAAAACCAGTAATTGCAGACTCTGGGGATGTGACTAGTCTTAAGGCTGTTTGCAGCAAGGAAGCTCTTCCAAGTGCTAGAACGAAAGACTTTTAGTTTTTGGCTCAGATTCGGTTAAGTACTGTTTGTATACCAGGATATGTGAGATGTAAATGTAATAGGTCACTTTCACCCCCGTAGCTATAAAATGAAAATTTTGTAGGACAGAAATAGCTTGTACTACTGAATTAACAGAAGTTGTACTGAAGTATCATGTTTTTAAAACTATATCTATATATACACAGAGTAAAGTTTGTTGCTGTTACCCTGTCTGGATTTCAAATGTGTGCTGATATATATGTTACACACACACACACACACACATATATATATATATCCTATACACGCACACATCGAAAATGGCCTAAAGCAGACATCCATGTAATTACAGTTGCAAAATGAAGACATTTTTGGAAAGAACATTGTATCATAGTTCATTCATTTGCAGTGGCTCTCTGTTCCTCTTTCCTGTGGTGATTTTAGAAATGAGTGTCAAGTTTGAAATTAGCTCTGCTGCGTTGGGGTTTTGCTGCTTGAACTCTGCACTGGGTCCTCAAACAAACCGATGTGAATGTAGCCCCCTTCCCCCCCCCCCCCCCCCGCCACGTGTGAAGAAGCAGCCACACCCCAACAAAATAGGAGGAAAAATCTAGAACTATTTCAAGTTTTATCTTTTTTGTATATGAAAATGAAATAAAATAATAATAATATTGAAAAAATCCTGTTGTCTCTCGTGATCCCTGGGCAGGGGATTGAGGTTTCTTTTCATGGGGATTCGGAATAATTAAAAGGCTGCTCTGGCCGACTCAGACACCTGTGAGCTCCCACTTGGTACATGTGGGGTAGTGGATGGTTGAATGCCTCGTCTAGCGTGGTCCTGTGGGGAGGAGCGAGGCACGGGTCTCCCATCTCCCCTCACAAAGCCCAGGGCCCAGTTGGAGATCCTGGGTTTCTCCTAAATCAGTGGTCGGCAAACCACGGCTCTCGAGCCACATGCAGCTCTTCGGCCCCTTGAGTGTGGCTCTTCCACAAAATACCACGTGCGGGCGCGCACGTACAGTACGATTGAAACTTCGTGGCCCATGCGCAGAAGTCGGTTTTCAGCCTGGGCGCGTCTATTTTGAAGAAGTGGTTCTAACGCCGAGCCATAAGGAGCCAAAGAGCTGCATGTGGCTCGCGAGCTGTGGTTTGCCGACCACTGTCCTAAATGAACTGTCTTGGGACTTTGGCTAAGTTCCTTAGAGCAGGGGTATATTTTCCAAATCTCCAAGATCCCCCACATAGATGTCAGTCTTATACTTTGCAGGCAATCCTGAGCCATATTTTTGCAAGCAGAACAGAGGTGCCTAGAAAATGGGTTATATGCAGGACCACTGCAGAATATACGCTCTGCTGCTTCTCCACGTGGCTGAGGGTCAGGGTCACTTGCTGAGCTGTTCAACAATGGAGTTTTGGGCCACCACCCCAGATCTGAACCAGCAAGCCTGCTCTTAACGTTTTGGAGTTCCTGACTTATCTCACTAAATGAAACGCGGTTCCCTGCTAATAAAATAATTGTAGTTTCTACTACCTAACAAAACAAAAACACGGAAAGCCCCAGAAATCACCCCACTGCTTTCCGCAGTGACATCTAAAGAATTGTTTTTTGGCTGGTGACTAACGTTGGGTAAGTGGAGAAACACCAGCTTTGCATCCTTCTGGTGGGGCAGATTCCTTTTTACTTGCCCCTTTATAAGGATAAAACAACCTGCTTGGAATTCTTGGGGACTAAATTCTAATAAAGGAGCCCATTTTTTTAGGGAGCAGTTGTCCAGGATTTGGCTTATTTTTGCCTTTTCAGGGTTAGAAAGTTCACCTTTTATGAGTGAGTGCCCCTAATGCTGAGCACAGAGGAGAGGAAGGCACGGTTTTGAATGAGGCTCTAGGAGCTGGAAGTTTGGATTGTAAGAGTCCTATGGTCAAATTTTCCCTCCAACAAAGAAACTTTTCCCCTAAAAGAAACTGGACACAGAAGGTGTTTTTTTTTTTTTTTTTTTTTTTTTTTTTTTTTTTTTGGGGGGGGGGGGTGGAGGAGGGGTGGGAGCTCTTGCACTCTGATTCAGGATCCTGAGCCTAAATGGAGTATGAAAAGGAAAGACATTTTAAACCCGGGCCGGTGGGTTCAGTGGTTAGAGCGTTGGTCATGCAGTGAAGGGTCTTGGGTTCGGTACCCGGTCAAAGGCGGGTGCCATGGAGTACAGTCTTGTCAAGGAAATCCTTAGGAGGTACGAAGCTATTTTTAGGAGTTACGGTTTGTATACCCTGTGACTTCAAAGCCAGGTGTCAGGAAGACATCCAACGTGGCACAGGTTTTGGAAAGAGACCTGGGTTAGAATCTCGGCTCTCAGGATCTTCGTTAACCGTGCGCAAGTGGCTTAGTCCCCTGTTAGGTGGGATTAGACTCAAGGTGTTTTTTCCCCCTCAGGACGGGGTACAGTACAGAGCCTTCAAGACATTCCAGTGGACCAGGGATGGAGCGGGATGCGCTCCGGCCTCCAGGTTTGTCACCAGGGGGCGCGCGAGGCCCTTCCCCGGGGAGGGCGCGCGTGCGCGTTCCGGGCCTCTCCAGTCTCCGGAGAGCCTCCAGTTGCGCACGCGCGTCTTGGTGCCGAGGCTGTGATTGGCTCTCAGGCAGCACAGCCGTGTGTGCGCGTGCGCGGTCGCCCCAGGCGGCGGCTGCTGCGATGGCTGCCAAAAGTTTTGCAGCGCGTCTCCGGCGCTCTCGGCGCTTTCTCAACGGCTTCGTGGCCGGAGCGGTGGTGGGCGCCGCGGGAGCCGGGCTCACGGCCTTGCAGTTCCTCGGGAGTCAGGGCACTGAGGCTGCGTTGGCGGCGAGGGAGCCGGACGGTAAGCCTGGGGCCTGGTTTCCGCTCCCCGACCCAGGTGGGGGGCGTGAGTCCATCGTCGTCCACCTGGTCTTCCCTCTCCCCACGGGGCTCCCTCCCCGCCCGTGGTTTGGGGCCTTTCCTGTCTCCCTGCTCGGCCTCCGCTCCCCACGCCCCGTCTAGGCTGCCTCTTCCACCCACGTCTTTCCTGCGGGGGATTTCATCTCTTCCTCCCCTCCAAGTATTTATCGGGATGTCTGAGTCCCTGTCTGTCCGCCTCTGGACGGTTAGCTCCTAAGAGGCGGGCCACGTCTGGGTACGTAGATTTTTATTGATTTTTTGCAGAGAGGAAGGGAGAGGGAGAGAGAGCTAGAAACATCGATGAGAGAGAAACATCGACCAGCTGCTTCCTGCACATCCCTCATTGGGGATGTGCCCGCAACCAATGTACATGCCCTTGACCGGAATCGAACCGGGACCTTTCAGTTCGCAGGCCCACGCTCTATCCACTGAGCCAAACCGGTTTCGGCAAGGATTCACACTTAGTTTAAACACATGAGTGGGTTGGTCTCTGTATCGTTCAGAGCAAGAATGCCTTTCAGAGCTGACACATCCCCACGTTACCAGGTGTGCCCTGTATTTGACAAAGGAAAGGAGTTCTGCTCACTTATACACTTTCTCCCACGCGCTCATTTAACGTGTTCCTCGGTGTAGCAAGAGAACTAGTATTTGGGGAAAGGCTGGAGAAGGCAGTCCCCATTCAATGCGCGCTGGGTTTCTCCCGCTAGGAAAAAGGCCAGGTTTACTACTGTCTTGCTGCAGCAATACCAGAACCGTGAGACATCGTCAGTGAATGATGACCTTTAAAAAAATTTAAGCCCTGGCAGGTGTCGCTCAGTGGTTAGAGTGTTGACCGTGCACGGAAGGGTCTTGGGTTCGATTTCCAGTCAAGGGCAGGTACCTGGGTTGCAGGTTGGATCCCCATCCTGGTTGGGGTGCATGTGGGAGGCAACCAAAGTGTCTCTCTTTCTCTCCCCTTTCCTCCCTATACCCCTCCTCCTTCCCTCCCACTCTTTAAAAAGCAATGGAAAAAATATCCTCAGATGAGGATTAACAAATAAATACATAAATAAAATTTATTTTATTTTTAAAAAAATATGTCTTATTGTGTGTGTGTGTGTGTTTTTTTTTTTTTTTTTATAGAGGGGAAGGGAGAGAGATAGCGAGAAACATTGATGAGAGAGAAACATCAATCAGCTGCCTCCTGCACACCTCTTACTGGGGATGTGCCCGAAACCGAGGTACATGTCCTTGACTGGAATGAACCCAGGACCCTTCAGTCCGCAGGCCGATGCTCTATCCACAGAGCCAAACCAGTTAGGGCCATAAGTAAATTTAAAAGGGCTGTGCTTTAGTCCCCATATTAACTCTTAAATATTTTTTATTGATTTCAGAGAGAGAGGCAGAGGGAGAGAGAGAGAAATATCAATGACGAGAGAGAATTACTGATTGGCTGCCCCTACTGGAGACCCAGTTGGCAGTCTGGGCATGTGCCCTGACTGGGAATCCAACCGTGACCTCCCTGGTTCTTGGGTTCCTGCTGAACCATTGAGCCACACCAGCCAGGCCCCACATTAACTCTTAAAACATAATGAGTAGAGCGGCTCATTCCCATTCAGTCATGCCAATGACTAGTAACAACAAGAGTTTTTCCTTTGCTGCTTTTGTGTACACAGTACTTTGTGGGGCAGAGATTTGAAACTTTGAAGGAGCAGTCAGATCAGGTCCTTATTTGAAAGTAAAGGAGATAGCTACAGTTTATCTTGATATAACTATACAACTGAATTTAGGCAAAACCTGTCTTTTGTCTACAGCCTCCTCTTTGTGTTATAAGTAATTGCAAAAGCAAGATCTCTTGGTTGATTAACTTTTGAGTCAGTCCTGTGTAAGTCTTACCCCTCTTCCTTTACTTACAATTTTTTTGTTCCTAATAAGAGTCACTAACTTTGTTATTTTTGTTTTTTCCCCCTTTTTTCATTTTTAGGTTCTGCAGAAAAGGCTCTCCTGGGACAATTTGGATTTCCTCTAACTGGAACAGAGACTAGGTGTTACACTAACCATGCCTTGTCTTATGACCAGTCAAAGCGGGTGCCTAGATGGGTTCTTGAACATATATCCAAAAGCAAGATCATGGGTAGGTGGTTAGAAGTACAGCCATCACTGAAAGATGTTTCCAAATTTAGAACAGGGGACATCAGTGATCAGCTCAGCCTTTTTCACATTACAACACGTTTAGCAAAGGATGTTTGTGTAGCTCACTAGACAAATGGACCCTGACTGGTCATGCCTTGTCTTATGACCAGTCAAAGCGGGTGCCTAGATGGGTTCTTGAACATATATCCAAAAGCAAGATCATGGGTAGGTGGTTAGAAGTACAGCCATCACTGAAAGATGTTTCCAAATTTAGAACAGGGGACATCAGTGATCAGCTCAGCCTTTTTCACATTACAACACGTTTAGCAAAGGATGTTTGTGTAGCTCACTAGACAAATGGACCCTGACTGGTCATGCCTTGTCTTATGACCAGTCAAAGCGGGTGCCTAGATGGGTTCTTGAACATATATCCAAAAGCAAGATCATGGGTAGGTGGTTAGAAGTACAGCCATCACTGAAAGATGTTTCCAAATTTAGAACAGGGCACATCAGTGATCAGCTCAGCCTTTTTCACATTACAACACGTTTAGCAAAGGATGTTTGTGTAGCTCACTAGACAAATGGACCCTGTCTGGCAGTCGGGGAGCCCCAGACCCTTCCCAGCTGCCTCAGAGGCTGAGAGGATCTATATCTTGACACATAAGTATGTCAGAAACATTGCTGCAACAAGCAACATTCATTCATTATCTCCACAACTACTTTTAGTGTGTCTGACACTGCTAAATCTTGGGGGTATATTAGTGACCAGAGTAGATGGTCTTTGCCTCCATGGCACTTGGGGTTGGAGTTGGAGTGGGCGTGAGTTGACATATCAAACAAATAGTCATGAATGTATAATTATAGTTGGTGATAACTTCTGGGGGAAACGTGATTGCAGTTTGGGTTTGTGTAAATAAAGAAAGGTGGAGAGATCATAACAGGAGAACCTGATTTTGATGAGCGAGGCTTCTCTAACAAAGTGGCCTGCAGGGGGGATGGCAGAGTTGTTGGTGGGCCATGCAATACAGAGTCGAGCCTTCCAGGCAGAAAGGAAAGCACAGTTGCATCTTTCAAGGCCCCAGTATGAAGAGTTTTGTTCCTTTGGGAACTAAAGGCCAGAGTGGCTGCAAGCAAGGGAGGACATGATGTGAAATGGGACTGGAAAGGTAGTAGGTGTATGAAGTCTGTTCATGTGTCCTTATGTCTTGGTAGATTCTTGTAATTATTAATAGATGACCAGGTATAGATACTCGGTGTCAAATTGATTTCGGGGTAAATTATTTCAATTTACACTCCAGTTATCACTATTTGTCCTCTCTCTCCCAACCCTCACCCACAATGGGCATTACTGGGCTTTCCCAGTTTAATAGTTGAATTTACTTGCACTTATTGGTTGCCAGTGAGGGTTACTGTTTTGTGAATTATCTTTTACTATTTTCAGTTGGGATATTCTTTTTTGAATTGATTTGTAGTAGTTCTCATATATTAAGGATATTGCCTTTTGTCAAAGTTGTTCTATTCTTATTTTGTATTTTGCCTATTAATTTGCTATATGGCTCACAGATTATATCTCCTTTGCTTTGCAACACTGCCATCTTTATGTATATAAAAATGCTGTTATTAAAACGAGTGTGTGCCTCCATAGAGTACACACACCAGCATAACAGCAGCAGCTTGGAATGTGTTTGTTGCAGGAGAGGAACTGATGAGCAGTTATCATAGCAGTTGAGACTTGATTATAAATTTGTATCAAGGGAAACTCAATTCATTTTGTCTCAAGCCTAACGAGTTTCCTTTAAATGCAAAAATTCTCCCAAGATACAAGGTATTTTGGCTTGTACTAATTTTATCCTGCTATTAAGTTATTTCTTTCAGGGGGATGTAAGAAAAGCATTGAGTTTCATATAATAAACCAATGAGCTGTGTAAGGTTTGAGGAGGTAAAATAGAGCCAATTACTTATATTTGAAAACAGGAAGGAATCTACCTGTGATTTACTTAAGTATAGTATAAAGTGTCTTGTTTTTAGTAATGACAGAGTTAATCAGACTAACTCTCCTGCTAAAAGCAAGAATGTTATTAGAGCCGAAACTGGTTTGGCTCAGCGGTAGAGCGTCAGTCTGCAGACTGAAAGGTCCCAGGTTCGATTCCGGTCAAGGGCATGTACATTGGTTGTGGGCACATCCCCGGTAAGGGGTGTGCAAGAGGCAGCTGGTTGATGTTTCTCTCTCATCGATGTTTCTAGCTCTGTATCTCTCTCCCTTCCTCTCTGTAAGAAAATCAATAAAATATATATTTTTTAAAAATTAAAAAAAAGAATGTTATTAGAAGTATGAAAAAAGTGTATTTTAAAAAATCATACATTCACATAAATGCAGAGTCAACAGGATAGTGGAGAATTGCCAGGCTATATATCTAGAATACAGTTTGCATTTCAGATTTGCCAGATTGTTCTAGTTACATTCTTTACAGCTACTTTTGGATCCAGTATCCAATTATGAATCACATAATACATTTAGTTGTCATATGTCTCCAGTCTCCGTTAATTTAGGACAATTTCTCTGCCAAAAAAGAATATACATGTCTTTTATGCCATTGACATTTACTACCTGAATTGTTGGTGATTTTCATCATTAAGGTGGTGGTTCCCAACTTATATTTGGGAGAAAGCCAGAATCCAGAGAGGTCAGGGCAGTCCCGGCAAACCAGAGCTACAGTGCAGCCTCAGGGTGAGGTGGACTGAAGGCAACACCTAGGGTTTACCCAAGTAGCTTGTTTTTTTTGTTTTTTTGTTTTTTTTTAAAAATATATTTTATTGATCTTATACAGAGAGGAAGGGAGAGAGAGAGAGTTAGAAACATCGATGAGAGAGAGTCATCGATCAGCTGCCTCTTGCACACCCCCTACAGGGGATGTGCCCGCAACCAAGGTACATACCCTTGATCAGAATCGAACCCGGGTCCCTTCAGTCCCCAAGCCGACGCTCTATCCATTGAGCCAAACCGGTCTCGGCCCAAGTAGCTTGTTTTATCGGAGACCTTCCCAGCATTAACCCAGATCCCCAGAGGGCTGCACTTCAGGGTGAATCAGAACTAGCTTGCCTGCCCACCATAGGGGACTACATGGCAGGCTCTCCTGCCCTGAGCAGAGAAGGGTCAAAAAGTAGAATAAAAGCTTCTGAGGAAGTCAAGGCCACAGACTGCCTGTGCAGACTTATAGCCTAAAGCCTGGACAGCTCAAGGAAGCTTCAGTCCTGAGCGTGGTTTTAAATATCCTCCCTGCTGATGCCTTGGTTTAAAATATCTTCCCCTGGTTGAAGAAGTGAGTGTGTATGCATGCTCCAGGAAGGCATCTTCATCCTAGGCCTTTAGAAAGGCCCACAAATGAGTTTTCAAGGACAGTGAGCATCAGGCATGCAGGGAAGCGATTTCAATGGTAGTGACACTTGATTCTTTTGTATACCCAGTAACTTTTTATTTTATTTTATTTTTTAAAATATATTTTATTGGCCGAGACTGGTTTGGCTCAGTGGATAGAGCGTCGGCTTGGGGACTGAAGGACCCGGGTTCGATTCCGGTCAAGGGCATGTACCTTGGTTGCGGGCATATCCCCAGTGCAGAGTGTGCAAGAGGCAGCTGGTCGATGACTCTCATCGATGTTTCTAACTATCTCTCTCCCTTCCTCTCTGTACAAAATCAATAAAAAATATATTTAAAAATATATATATATATTTTATTGATTTTTCACAGAGAGGAAGAAAGAGGGATAGAGAGTTAGAAACATCGATGAGAGAGTCATCAACCAGCTGCCTCTTGCACACCTCCTACTGGGGATGTGCCTGCAACCAAGGTACATGCCCTTGACCGAAATTGAACCCGGGACCTTTCAGTCTGCAAGTGGACGCTCTATCCACTGAGCCAAACCGGTGCCGGACCCAGTAACTTTTTTTTTTTAATGAAGATTCTAAAAAGCTAGGTATTGGATACTTTACTCTGAACCTTGAAATCAAATAATTTAAAAATTATTCCTGGTTGAATGAAATGACATTGCAGTCAATAACTTTATTGATCTCCATTTTACCTTTTTTTTTTTTCAGTAGCAGTCAGTATATTCCATCTATCCTCATAATTGTTATAATTTGATAAGTCTGTCCTAATGATAGAAAATGTAGAGCTAGGATTTGCTGATGTCCACTGTGGCACACTATTCTGGAGGTATCAGAATATAAGTAAAATTGAGAGTTCTTCTCTCCCATGTGGTACTTAGATATTTTATTTCAGGAATTTTCTGGATTAAGCTCATAACTTAAATATTTGTTTTGTCATGGCTTAAGAGGCAGTAAGCAAGATATCAGAGACACTCTCCCCCTCCGCGAGGCTGTGCCTGCCCAGAACAAATTGTTTTGTGTCTATATATATCCATTATTTCAGTCCATGTAAACTTGTCAAATACAGTTGTGCAAAATACGGTATATGAGGGTCTTTTTAAAAAGCAAGAATTTAGTAGCTAAACTTTTTATTTAGACAGCTCAGCTATTTAATTGGTTATTGTTTTTATGAAAATACTATCTGGGAACTATTTTCCCCTTTAACTTGAAAGGCCAGAAACAAAAGTATATGAGATGGCTACACTGTATGAAAAGCATTCTTTCCTAGACTAGTCCTTGCTAAATTCAGATGAAGTATCTGAACTATCCCAGGAACTTGACACATGCATGCAGTCACTAACTGCTAGCTGCTCAGAGAGATACAGGCCAAAGCAACCAGCTTGCCTTGCTTAGAGGATCGTGAGGGACATTGTCCACTGATAACTTACTCATGTTGTGTGTTTTTCTTCAGGTGCTGCGGACAGAAGAAATTGCAAATTCAAGCCGGATCCCAACATCCCTCCAACCTTCAGTGCCTTCAACAAGGACTACATTGGAAGTGGGTGGTCCCGAGGCCACATGGCTCCAGCGGGCAATAACAAGTTTTCACCAGTAGGCATATTGTGTGTGTGTGGGGGGGGGGCTGTGGGCTGGCATTGTTCCGTGGGACTTGGAGATTAACCAAGCAGCCAAACTGCAAAACTTGAGGTTTTCTATACTCTGTTTCCCCCCCCTGACTTTATTTCTCGCTCAGATGCTGAGACAGTTTTAAGCAGGTTGAGGAAAGCAAATCCTATGTAAAGGGAACTAAAAGCCAAAAGGAGCAAAAGCTACTTGTTTTTATTTTTAAAATGTCAGGCCTATAGAAAAGTGGAAAAGAGAGGACAGCAAACACATTGTGATATATTTACAAGTGTGTGTATATAAAACTTTAACTGTCACAGACATCATAACACTTCATTTCAAAATATGTGGCTTAGGAGATGGTATTATTTAACAAAGAATATATGTAGCTATGACAGGATGTCATTATAACCAAAAATGTGTGCAAGATGTGTTTTTGTACAGTTGTACAATAATTTCCAATACACAGTTTGCATTTCAGATATGTCAAAATTGTTCTAATTATGTTTTTTACAGCTTTTTTTTTTAATCTAGTATCCAATTATGAATCACAATAATACATTTAGTTGTCATATGTCTCCAGTCTCCTTTAATTCAGGATAATCGCTTAAGAGGAAGATACGTGTCTTTTATGACATTGACATTTACTGCATGAATTGCTGGTGACTTTCCTCATTAAGATGGTGGTTCTCAACTTGAGGTACTCAATGTAGTCACCTAGGGGAGTTTTAAAAACTCCTGATGTCCAGACCTGTAACCCTGAGCAGGTACGTCAGAAACTCTTGAGGACATGCTTAGAGAGGAGTAGGAGGGAGAAAGAGAAGCATCAACTTGTTGCCCTCCGTATGTACCCCACCAAACCCACAACACAGGGCTGTTCCCTGACTGGGAGCCAAACCAGTAATCTTTTGGTACACAGGATGGATGCTCAACCAACTGTTTTTAAAGTTCCTTGGGTTATTCCAGTGTGCAGCCAAGGGTGGGAGTCACTGCTCGAAGAGAAGATAATTGGCTTTGGCAATTAGTATAGCTCAGTGGTCGGCAAACTGCGGCTCACGAGCCTTATGCGGCTTATAAGCCGTGGTTTGCCGCTCTGTTGACTAATGAGTTTGCCAACCACTGGTATAGCTCAATGAAAGGAAATACACTTACAGAACTCCGTGTTTACAGGTCAGACGTGCAAAACGAACGAAAACATAGTGGCCAGAACAAGAATGTTTCTCTGCCACAGTTGAACTAATATGTATGTACTGTACTACTTAAGTAAAATTCCTGAAAGTTGACCTTGGAAAAACTGCCAGAGGCTTAAAACCAGAATTTAGGGTAAAACTCTTTAGCTTCATATTGGAAACTTAGTTCTTAGAATCTACACTAAAGGTTTGAGCTTTATAAATTATGAAGAAAGCTAGCACATCTATTTTGTTATAGTCCTTATTTTGAATAATCATTATTGAAAATAATGACTCTGTGTCCTGCTATACCTCTGGCTTTCCTTTATCTAAGTAAGTAGTGACTGTAATTGCATTAATAAGGAGCTAGTGTTCTCTGCCTTGTAAAATCTCCAGGGGGCAGGCATTTCAGTACAAGTTACTCTTGTTATTTCTTTTCACAGAAAGCCATGGCTGAAACCTTCTACCTTTCTAATATTGTGCCTCAGGATTATGATAATAATGCTGGCTATTGGAACAGGTGAGGTGAGAGTTTTAAAGGTGTGGTTCTGTGGGAGATGAATGATGTGAGGAGAATTTGCTAGTTGTTTATCAGCTGTTTCTGTCTTTGTTTTTAAAAGCCATTTTTAGTGGAAGTAACTTTCATGAAGTGCTTCAGACTAGTTTTCTTTGCTGTATAATATTTCAGGAGTATAGTTTGCTATGGGAGGACAGACTTCAAAACATAGCCAGTCATTTTAATCCTGTTTGCCATTGGTCAGAAGTCAAATTCTCGAAGAAAGTACTACTGCTAAGGCATCAAATATTTTTTAATATGTCCAGAAAACACTGTGTTTTTCTCTACTTGTGTTTCAAGAGTTGTTAGCTTTAAAACAAGAAATTGGTACAACTACATATAACCATTAACCAGTTTTAAATGAGTTCTGTCAGGGTATCTCTTTAAGCATTTAAAACTAGCACTGAATGAGATTGTTTCCAGTTGACGTGTTTTCCCCAAATAGTACTTTTGTGGAATAAAATAGTTAAGAGAGCACCTGTGCACTCAAGGTGACTGCAGTGGTTGTCAGTTGTGGCAGCATCTGTGTTGTCTACATACCCCTCTTACTCTACTCAGATTATTGTAAGCAGGTCATAGATATGTTATTTTACCATTTCAATACATATTTTTTAAAGATAGATTCTTTTAATAGTACTTCCTTATTACTACTTTTACAGTCGGTATTCAGATTTTCCTGATTGTCTTTAATTTGTTGTTGATTGGTTTGAGTCAGACTTTAACCAAGGTCTACATGTAGATTTGGGTGATATTTCTCTTCAGTCCCTTTTAATCTATAAGTTCCCTCCCCTTTTTTTTTCCTTGTAAATTATTTGTTGAAAATCTGGGATATTTGTCCTATGGTTTCCTTTTCATATGCTGTCTGATTGCAAATATATGGAAGTGTTTAACATCCTAAGAATTATGTTTTGGGGAGGAAAACTCTACTTTGTTATTGGGCATATATGCTATGACTTTACTTTTTAGATAATGAAACAGGAATGGTGACATGCATTGTTTTCTCATAAAGCTCAATTGCAGTATAAGAAGTGCATATTGAAACTACTGGCCATTTTTATCCAGTAAATAAGCAAAAACAGTTTTTAAGTGACACATCCCAGTGTGGTAAAGATTGCTGTAAAAATCCTGTGTCATTTTGCAGTTTACAGAGTGAAGTGGGACAATTCCATTAAAAATATTAGTATAACATATAATGAAATGTCACTAAAATATTCAATAAAGTAATTTTGGCCCTTGAAATTTATCCTAAGGAGTGATTTTTAAAAAAATATATATTTTATTGATTTTTTACAGAGAGGAAGAGAGAGGGATAGAGAGTTAGAAACATCGATGAGAGAGAATCATCGATCAGCTGCCTCTTGCACACCCCCTACTGGGGATGTGCCCGCAACCAAGGTACATGCCCTTGACTGGAATCGAACCTGGGACCTTTCAGTCCACAGGCCAACGCTCTATCCACTGAGCCAAACCAGTTTCGGCTAATGTGTGTGATTTTTAAGTTTTTTTGTGTGGTAAACAAACTGGGAAAAGCATTGCTTACATGCTTATAATGTTTTGTGCCCTATCACTTGTTTATATTAATGTCTCTAAGTATCCTTGGCATCTTTCCTAGGGATGTGGTATGGGGTGCTGCTTTTCTTTGTTTAAGCCTGTGAGAATATCATACATTTTTCTGCATTGTTTTTCAGAATAGAAATGTACTGTCGAGAACTGACAGAGAGGTTTGAAGATGTTTGGATTGTATCTGGGCCGTTGACCTTACCTCAGACTGGAAGTGATGGAAAGAAAATAGTTAGTTACCAGGTAGGGACATGTTTTAACATTCAGTCTTATGCTCTTTGTATGAGATTATAATCTCCTCCTGGTTTTCTACTTTTTATTTCACTTACTGAACTGTATTAACATTTATGTTTGCTAGCTATAATTTAGTCCAGACTTTGCCTGTGTCAGCGTTTATAAACTGAGGCTTTATTTGGCTTGCACAGTATGTTGTTTTTGAACTAGTTGATAATGTTTAATAGTTGGGAGTTGTCACATAAACCCAGAGTTCAGCTTCCCTTAAATGCGTCCGATGACTCGGTCACACTTGGCATAGGTTCCCACGGGCACCGCTCACTAGGTGAGAGCGGAGCGCAAGCTCTTCGGTTCACCGCGGTCCACCGGCCCGTTTCACCCACTTCCATTTTCCCTGTAGCTCTTGTCGGTCGTCGGGTTTATCCTCCTGGGTCTATCGAAAATATAAAACCAGCATTTATAGTGTTAGCAATGTGTAAGTCGTATGTTTGGACTTGTAAAGAAGTAGCTATAATCCTATATCATTACGGCTATGCCCCTTGAGATGAGTACCGACACAGCAAAACACCGGGAAGTGGGAAGTAAAGGTGGCAGTGTACAGTAGTGTAATTACTGCTTTTAAAAATGTAATAATATGCTTTTTCTTTCTAATTCAGAGCTTTTAACCTTATCACTATTGAAAAAAAAAAAAAAAAGTAAATCAGTTTCTTCTTGAGACATTATTCTTGGAGCCCCTGACTTCCTTTCTAATTTAGATACTTGTTTACTCCTTCCCTGCCTCTCTCTCTCCCTCCCGCTCTCCCTTTCTTTTATTCAACAAACATTTACTAAGCTTCCAAGACACACCTGGTGCTGTTCTGTGTGCTTCTGTGTGTGCTACATGGAGGTTACATTCTAATGGAGGAGATGCCCCATCAACAGAATGCCAAGGAAAAGTAAGACCTGTAGAGAGTTACAGGTGGGGTGGGAAAGAAAGGCTAGACCACTCGGGGAAGTGAGGTTGAGCAGAAATCTAAGGGAAATGATGGAGCAACCCATGTGAAGAGTTGTCACGGGCGAGATTTAGCTCAGTGTGTCAGGAACAGCAAGAACGCCAGGGTGGCTGGAGTCAAGAGCGCACTGAGGACAAGGGGGTAAGCCCCGGGGGGAGGCACTGGGAAGAAGTCTGGGTTGTGTTAAGTGAGATAGGACACTTGTAAGGTTTTGATCAGGATAGTGGCATAGTCTCATTTACATTTTTAAAGCCCAGGCTGGCTGCTGCATGTGAAGAACAGAGAATGAGGTGGAAATAGGGGGCCAATTAGGAGGCTAATGGAGTCGTCTAAGTGAGAAATAATGATGACTGGAGTAGGTTGGCGGTGGTAGAAATGGTGAGAGTGGCCTGATGTGGGATGTGCCTTGCAGGTAGAACTGGGAGCTTCTAATGGATTAGTGATAGAATAAGAGGGAAAGAGGCAACCTCAGGGTTTCAGACTGAGATTGTGAAGACCAGAGAGGAGCAGGTCTAGGGGCTAGAAATCAGGCTGTGCTTTGGCTGTGCATTTTGCGATTGTTGTGCAAATGGAGGTGAGATGTTGAATAGATAGGCTGTGAGTGTGGGTTTCAGAGGAGAGGCTGTTGGGAATGGTCAGCACTCAGATGGTATTTAAAGCTCTGATGAGATTACGTAAATGAGTATAGATATGAGAGGTCTGATCTGAGATCCGAACCAGGGAGAACTCAGGCGTTTAGAGGCCAAGAGGAGGAGGGTCATCCAGCAAAGGAGACAGAAGGAGCCACCTTTGAGGTGGAAGCGTCAGCAGAGTGGTGTCCCAGGTGGCAGGTGACGGAAGCACCTGACAGAAGGAGTGATCAGTGGAGAACTGATTCAGGATGCAATCCAGGATGATGCCTTGAACCTGAGACAGCCAGTCCTGCAGCCCTTCTGTCTTGAATGGCGTTGACATTTTGAAGAATACAGGCCGGTTTTGCAGTGTGTTCTCAAATTGGGTCTGTTGTTTCCTAGTGACTTGGTTCAGGCACATTTCTGGCAGCACACCGCAGCGCTGCTCCTGGGTGTGCCTCAGTGGGCCTTTCGGGATGCATGGATTGTTTGTCCGGCTATTGACGGTAATCGCCTTGGTCACGTGGTCAAGGTGGTCTCCTGCAGATCCGCTGCTCGGTTACCATTTCCCCTTTGAAGTGAATTAGTAATCTTTGGAAATACTTTGAGACCATGTAAATTTTCTTCCCTTCACCTGCTAGTTTTAGCACTTGTTAGTGATTCTTGCCTGAATCAGTTATTACTACAGTTGTTGCCAAATGACAATTTTCTAATTCTTATTCCTTCTACCTTGTATTTTAATCTTCACCAGAGGATATGTTTATTGATATTAGAGGGAGAGGAAGGGGTAGGGGGTAGAGAGAAAGAGAAACATCTATTGGTTGCCTGCCATACTCCCCAACCTGCAACCTTTTTGGTGCATGAGACAGTGCTCCAACCAACTGAGCCACCCTGTCAGGGCCCTTCTGCATTTCATTTATTAGTTGGCATCTTACTGACAAAGAGCTTATCCGTCATATTTATTATCAGTGTGAACTTGGGCTCTTAGTTTATTCAGTGAGTTTTAATCAGTTTACTGTGTATTCATTTTGATGCTCAGATTTTCCCATATTAGGCAGTGGGAGCCTCTTCCAGCTGTTGCCTGTGTCCTTTTGACATGTTCTAATCTTCATTTTAGCATTATCTACTTTCTGGGTAACATGATTGTCCAGGTTCATCTTGGCCAAACTCTGGGATTATCCATTTTTCTGAGAAGTCCTCGTTCCTTTTAATGGAGATTGGTATTTAGAACCAAGATCTGGATGACAAGTTGATTCTTGAGTGCTTGGTCGGCTGTTTGGCTTGTCATGTGTGTTCACCACATTTATTTTTAGCCTTTTATAATAGGTGGAGAGAGCCTTAAGAAAGAAGTATGTGAATTCTATTCTTTAGTGGCTCGCTGTCGGGAGCCTTTTCTCTCCATTTTCAATTTTTCTTTGTTTTTTTGAGAATGCGATGTATAGTCCCTTGTCATAAAGAAAGCATAGTGTGTGTGTATGCGTGTGTGTGTGTGTGTGTGTGTGTGTGTGTGTGTGTATGTGTGTGTGAGCGAGAGAGAGAGAGAGAGAGAGGGAGAGGGAGAGAGAGGGAGAGAGAGATGTGTATGTAAAGTTGAATGTTAATAGGAATCTATATTTCTAGTGAAGCATATAGTTTTTCATTCTTGGAATCATATCAAAATAAAATCTACCTTTATATATTTTATTTTTTACTAATAATTTCTCTAATCAGCTAACAGCTTTTGTTAGATTTAGCATTATTTTTCAAATGGAACTTGCGTTAGGTGAAATTTTAAACTTAAAATTTTTAGCATATATCTATGTCTAAAAGCAAAATATAATCACTGAGTAAATTGGAAAAATTGTCTTAGAGCTTGCCACTTTAATTGGGCTAGAAATTTTTTATGTATGCACGGACATATAATTTGGTTAAGGAAAACAGAAACGAGAGGAAAATGGAAGACATAGAAAAAGGTAGGATCTGAGCTGAGAAGCAGTGAGTTCCTGACATTTGGGTTGAAGCGTTCATATTATGAAAGAGACAAAAATAGAAGGAAAGGTGGTTGGGGCCAGGTGTTAAAAACCTTGAGTGCCCAGATAGAAAGTTCAGCTGTTTGCTAGCAATTCATGTAACACAGTTGTGGGTAAAACCATGTCCTTTAGTGATGCTGAGAGAGAGGGCACAGCATTGCTCAGTTCTAGACGTTGGTCTGTTCCTCACGAGGAATAAATATTTGAATTAAGAATGTCTATTTCCCAGGGAATTCTGAGTGCCCAGAGCATTTTGTTTTTTCAGATCCCGCCACTTAATATTTATTGTTTATTTACAAGTATTATCTGAACCTTAGGAAAATGTATCTAATAAAAATAAGGGTATTTATTTAGATTTCTATCTAGCTATGGAGCATACATGTGTACACTTTGGATTAAGTGAAGCAAATGAACTGGTATTTATTGAGGGCCACATGTACCACACAGTGAATAAATAGCTCTTTACTTCTATCTCATTCAGTCCTCACAAACAGACCTTACATACAAGTAATAGTTATCTACTTCTGTAGGTAAGGAAATTGAGGTTTTGAGGGGGCAAGTCCAAGTCACATAGCTAGTAATTGTCAAAGGCGAGATGCAAGAATGGGTCTGTTGACTTGTATGAGAATTGCCAGTTATTCAGAGCATTGTTCTGAAGCTCTCAAAATCTCCCGAGGGATCGCTGCACTCCTCATATACAGAAGCGTAAGGCCGGGAGGAAAAAGATAGTGTGGATGGAGAGCAGTTAGAAGTGGTATTTGCTTGCGTGCAAAAATATCAGAAAATGGGCCAAGAGGAGAATTCCTCACAGGGGGGCAGAAATGTCCCTTAGAATATATAGGGAAGGGTCACAGCATCATAGGACATGAGTGAATGTGAGCCTCAGGGAATATTAGTAGCAGTGATTTTACCAGAAGTGAGTCGTCTGACAGCTCTAATCAGAATCACCCCCTTTTTTATAGCTGAGGTCATCCATGTGCTTTCTCTGATGTGCGTGTTTCCAGAAGAGATTGATTCCAGACAAGGGAAACATACCTGAAGATTCTGGCCTGAACATTATAATTGACCTGTCAACTAAGTGAGCTTCAGATTTTTCAACCCGGTGGTGGTGGTAACAGAGGTGCTTAACAGTCTTTCCCTCTACAGCCTTACTGACCAACTGTCACCAACTCCTGGAGGGGAGGGCATGGAATCATGCCCAGGGGTCTTAAGGCGTTACGTGTGATCAGGGAGTAATTAAAAAAAAAAAAATCCTTTTTTTATCTTTAGAGAAACCTTTTCATTGTCGTATCTGTTTATTTTAAGAGACTTTGCTAGTATAGATGGCACACAGGCTGGCCATGCTCCTGCTGACTTTCCTCACCTTGTGTGATTCCTCTTGTTCTCTGTCCTCTCAGGTATGGAGTCCTGATTTATGACATTACTAGAGGCCTGATGCACAAAATTCTTGCAAAGGGCTTGGCCCTCGCAGCCCTGGCTTTGCCCAGACTGTTCTACTGGTTGGTCTACTTAGCATATTAGCTCTTTATTATACAGGATCATGGTTTCTTTTACTTGATTGGCATGACTTTTTTAAGGGCTTGTTCTCTCGATGTGTCCAACAGTTTTATTTTTGAAACCCAAGTATCTTATATCTGTCTGGTTCTACAGGTACAGATGTCTTTCTCATGATCCCACTTAGTATTTCACCTGAGGCATGGTTGATGTGAAGAACGACAGCCTTAGATCGGGTATTGTTTGCTGCTGGTGTCTTTGGTCGCTGATGCATCATGAAGGCCCAGCTCTGTGTGTGTGGACTTGGATGGTAGGGATGGAGGTGGGGGAAGGCAGCAAATTGTCATTTCTGTCTCTTACACAGAAGGAAACACATCCAGGCCAGCACCTCTTAAAACTAACTTCAAGTCCCAAGTGAGTGTCAGCGTATGGTTTTATCTAGATTGTATTCTCTAGTCACTCTCAGTTGATTTTCAGTTTTCGTTTCAATCTTGACAAGAGGTCAGTGCTTTTTGGTATTTGGACAGCAGCAAGGATTTCTTTTCTTTTATACCTAAGTCACCTGTTTGTGTTAAGTCTTCATGTCCTCTGTTTAGGGTGTCATTTGTATGCTCTCTCCTCCTGAAACACTCGCGTCTCCCTTAACTGGTCTCATCTTGCTTGACCCCAGGTTTCCCCAAAGTCCCTCTGCAGAACCAGCTTCTGTACCAGTTGCATTCTTGTCTTTTGAGTGACATGTACTATAAAAACACCTTTTTATATTAAAGTCTTGCAGATAAAAAATCTTTTTTAATGAACATGTCTTTTTATCTTCATAACTATCCTATGAAATGGGCAGAGTTGGGATTGTTACTTATTTATGAATCAGTGAAGAAGATAGGTGGGCGTGTCTTACAGCTTAGTGGCACAGCCAGGCCTTGACCGGGTCTCTGGGATTGAGGGCACTGAACCATTCTGCTTCAGTACCCTAGTAGTGTCAGAAACATTTCTGAAAGTCTTCCATTTTTCTCAAAAGTGGAAAAATTTATTATGTAGGTTGAATTGTCTACAAAGATAATGATAGCTCTAAATACTTCAGGATTTTTTTTTTTAAGTCTTAAATTTAAGAAAGAAACATTGGGCTTTCTCAATTTCCAAATAGGACTGATTTCTATATTATTCTAAAGATTTTTACTTCTTGAGAACAAAGCAGACTGAATCAGAAAGGATAGTGACTTAAGTTTTCATTTTTCTCTTTATTTCCTCCCTCTTAGTTGAAATACTGTGAGAAGGTCGTGGGTGGAAGAATCACACCTTGTGATTAGTAGGAACTTCTTGGTCTCTGAGGTTTCTCAAAAGTAGTAATAGAGGTCCTCTAGGTATTTATTGTGAGAGTTTTTGAAAACCTAATAGAAATGATGCATTTCCTTGAGGTAAAATGACGACTCTTAAAATGTCAAACTTATTTGCTTTTGGCTGGAATTTAATGAACTGGGTTTGAAGCCCTGGTTGGCACAAATGAACATGACCAATTAATTGTTTTTGAAAATTGCCATTTGTTTGTAGACTGAGAGACCCTGAGGAAAATAATCAAATGGTGTCCAAGGCTCCTTTCAGTTGATCCGAGATCTGTGCTGTAGTGATGGAGGATGTCCGCCAGGTGGCACTAAGGATTTGCTCAACCTCAGGCTCCCAGCTAGTGCCTGGAACACTTGAAGCTCATTTAAACTCCCCCCCTTGTTGTACATTTGGCTCAGCTGCAGCGGAACCTCCCTGCACCGACCCCCTCAGCGCTGTTGCTGCGCTCTGCAGGGGTGTCTCACCACATCCCACCTGCAGTGAAAGCTGTGTGTGGAGATTCCTCCTCTAGATGGGAGCTCTGGAGAGCAGGTATTTACTTTAAAGCTTCATCCCTTTCTGTGTTTCCAGCAGTGCCAGGCACGGGACCCCTGGGTTGCACCGCTTAGTGGTCAGCAAACTGAGGCTCTCGAGCCAGGCGCAGCTCTTTGGCCAATTGAATGTGGCTCTTCCACAAAATACCACGGCCTGGGCGAGTCTGTTTTGAAGAAGTGGCGTTAGAAGAAGCTTAAGTTTAAAAATTTGGCTCTCAAAAGAAATTTCAGTCTTTGTACTGTTGGTATTTGGCTCTGTTGACTACCAGTTTGCCCACCAGTGGCTTAGCTGAATTAACATCTGCTGGTGATCTCTGAGCGCATTGTAGACCCCCATGGAGTTCACCTTTAGTGTGTTTTTGCCTCGAAGAGTGTTTTCCTCCCAGCTGCATACATGACTTGTTGGAGGGGGTGGGGGGTTTTGTGTCTGTGGATTGTATAATTTCATAGACTTTAAACTGCTCCCTGATCAGCCATTTTCACTAACTTCAGAGACAGTTAGTTATAGAAATCTTCCCTGGGATGGCTCTTCCCTGTGGCTCTGCACTGGTTTTGGCAGGGGGGCCTCCGTACGTGCCAGACAGCAGATGGCCAGGAGTTTTCGGGCTGCGTGCCATGTAGGTAGGAGCCTGGGGAAAGCAGAGAGCCCTCTGCAGCTCTCGGCCTCTGCCTCATCTGCCCCAGCAGGGCCCGCGGGGAAGGAGAGGGCATGGGGCCCGAGCCCAGTGGTGCTGGGTTGTGTTGCTTAACGGGAGACCATCAAGGAAATGCATGTGCAGTTTCCTTTCTGAGAAAACAGATTTGGCTTTTAAACCCACTGGAAGGGAATTTGAAAAGTTTCATAACTGTTATTTTGTCATTACAGTCCAGCTACACAAGCAGCCAGGTTTCCAGGCCTATCCCTGGCCCTGGCGCTGTGTGGACACCTTCCAGAGGGTTTGGTTTGATGACCTGCGGAAGTCTGTGTCTGGCCCCAGAGCCTGCGAGCCTCCGAGCACGCAGCGTTTACATTAGTGCTTCATTTGAGAAGGAAAGGCTGTTTGTTGAGCTCCCTCGTGAATTTGATAAACTCAGGCCATCTTTTTATTTCTAGAGCGGGCGTGCCCAAGCTGGCAGTTTGACCTTTACGTGTTTAGAGGCCAGAAGTTCTGATTATGAGATGCAGTGAAAATTACAGCCTTTTCTTGCCCATTAAAAACCCAGGACTCCTGGCATCCCTTTGTCCTGCAGACAGCAGAGATGCGATCCCTGCTCTCTGGGGTGGCATCATTTTTAAGAATGTGAGCAGAAACTGCCTACGAAATGCTCATCTTCCTTGTGAATCTGTATTTCGGTTTATTATTACCTTTGGCAGTTGAATGTAAGTTCACTGCGATGGAGTATCTTGTAAGTGCATTTTTAGAAATGCATCTCAAGCTCTCACAAGGAACATTTGGGAACTGCTAGCATTGATCAGCATCACTAATACGGCTGCTTTGTTTCTAGGTGATTGGTGAGGACAACGTGGCAGTCCCCTCACACCTTTATAAGGTGATTCTGGCTCGCAGGAGCCCAGAGTCCACCGAACCGCTGGCACTAGGGGCCTTTGTGGTGCCCAATGAAGCCATTGGCTTCCAACCGCAGCTCAGTGAATTCCAAGTGAGCCTCCAGGACCTGGAGAAACTGTCGGGACTGGTGTTTTTCCCTCATTTGGATAGAACTAGTGATATCAGGAATATCTGCTCTGTGGACACCTGTAAGCTCCTGGACTTCCAGGCGTTCACTCTGTACCTGAGCACGAGGAAGATTGAGGGAGCCCGATCGGTGCCCAGGCTGGAAAAGATCATGGAGAACCTGAAGAGCACGGGGATTGAGCCCGATGATTACTTCATGAGCTGCTATCAGAGGAAACTGGAAGAGCTCAAAGCTAAGGAGCAGGCAGGACTCCCGGAGGGAAAGCCGGCCTAGTTTTCACCTCGGAAGCATGGTGTCTCCTGCAGTGAAGCAGATGCCCTCTTCATGCTCACGTGTGGGAGAGGCTTTGCTTATTTAAAAACATTATGGAATCCCAAATTTAGGACTAAACTCCCTGAAAGACGAAAGAGCTAAAACCTTTTTGGTTAGTATCTTACTTGACGTGGAACTAACTGGTAAAGGGACTCAACACCCGGGATCCAGGGCTGACCTCGGGTCGGGTTAACCGGAGGACGGTGTGTGCGCGATGGCACTGCCCGTGCCCCTCGGAGTGTGCTGTGTGTGAAGCATCTTACCTTCACGTTCCCGAGTCGTCGTCGTCTCCGATGCATCGGCTTGGCGCTCCTGGGACCCGGTATTGTGCATTTTCCTTCCCGAGGACCTGGGTGGGTCTCAGAGAAGCTGTGGAGCTCCTCTATTATCCTGTCGACGTGGATGATACAGGGTGGGGCAAGAGCAGATTTGCAGTTCATACAATAATGTGTCATAATACAAGAATAAACTTTCGCATACTCACACCTGTAGGCCTACTTCAGGCCACCCTGTGTATTAGTTTCTTGTTACTCTTCTCCTGGGGCCTGTGATTTCTGCCATATCCCTCTGAGATAATACCCCTCTCCTCATTTTCCTCGGGAGGAAATACATGGGTAAATCCCGGATTTACCTCTCTGAGGAAGTGTCCTTGTACCTCCCCTCTGCCCCCCCCCGCCCCTCCCCTCCCCGAATGAGGCACAAGGACTAAGAGGAAACCACGAGGTACGTTCAGATCTTCCTCTACACACAGGCTTTGGACTCACATACGGGATCTGCTGGGCAGAGGCGTCTGGTTTCTTGTCTGTCATCACGCCAGAGGGGCTTTACTGTCCTCTGACTCGAGCCCTCTGTAGCTCTGGGAAGCAGGAGTCACCGGTGCTGAAGGCTGGAGGACGTCTTTGTGGGTTTACCAGAGTGCCGCTGCCTCCGGAGACAGTTGCTTCCAGGGGTGCCATTGCTGTCCAGGGCAGCCTGGCTTCCACAGATAAAGGGAGCCGAGAGGGCTCTGCACACCGAGTCACCTGCTCGTGATCGGCTCACCTCTGCCTGAGCCTGGGGAGCAGGAAGCTGGTGTGTGAGCCAGTGGCCCAAAGGCAGTTAGCGCTGGGGGATGGCGGTTCCTGGGCCAGATCCCTAGACCTGGGGTTGTGAGGGTTCTTTCATGGGCCGTCCTCAGTACAGGCAGTGAAGTGTCGAGTCAGGACCCAGGAACTGCCACCTCACTGCTGCCTTTCCAGCTGTGTCACCAGAACAGAAATGCCTAACAAAAATGCCAAGTCTTTAAGGTAAAGGCAAGATGATAGTGATGAATCTTGTTCTGCCTTTTTTTTTTTTTTTTGGCTAAAGAGTTGGGGTGGTCAGAACAGGGTAGTCTGATTAATACCATCCTCTTAGCACATTGTTCCCCATTAGCTGTGCCAGCCTCTCAGGGATAAAGAGCCAGCATGTCACTGTGACCAAAACGTGTGTTATTCCCGGTGTTTCTCCAGGAGCCTGCGCAGGTGCCTATGCCCGGCCTGCCGCCGAGCTGTCCTGACCCAATTTCCACAGCCTCCGAGTTTCTCTCCTTGCTGTGCAGGGACTCCTGATTTTCAAATCTTAGTTACTCTGAAATATACTATCTGATCGTTGTGAAAAACAGAGAGAACTGATTTTTAAAAATGCAGTTGCGCTATCATTTTTACATGCAGAAGTTTGGTATACAACGGTGAGGTTTCAATTGTCTCAACGTTTCAAGTAAGAATCCCAGCAAAACAAGCTTCAAAATGTAAACATTAGGAGGAGCTTAGAGTTGCTCTGGATCAGATCTATTCAGCTTCCCCCGGTTAGATTGTGGATTATAAAATTCAGTTGCACAGACCCCCTGGGCCTCCCCATAGCCTCATGGCCCTGTATGCTCAGACCTCCTGGGCCTCCCAAAATCTCATGGCCTAACATGCTCAGACCTCCTGGGCCTCTCCATAGCATCATGGTTACACATACACAGATCTCCAGGGCCTCTCCCAAAGCCTTGTGGCCTCAGATGCTCATGCCCCCTGGGCCTCTCCATAGTCTCGTGGCCTCAGATGCACAGATCCCTGAGCCTCTTCATAGCCTCATTCTACACAAACAGGCCCCCGGGCCTCCCATAGCCTCATGGCCTTGGATACACAGACAACCCCCCCCCCACCCCCCGGCCTCTCCGTGGTCTCAGATGCACAGACCCCTGGGCCTCCCATAACCTCATGCCTCAGATATACAGGCCCCTGGGCCTCTCCGTGGCCTCAGATGCACAGACCCCCGGGCCTGTCCGTGGCCTCAGATGCTCAGACCCCCTGGGCCTGTCCGTGGCCTCAGATACACAGGCTCCCGGGCCTCTCCGTGGCCTCAGATGCACAGACCCCCGGGCCTCTCCATGGCCTCAGATGCACAGACCCCCGGGCCTGTCCGTGGCCACAGATACACAGGCTCCCGGCCTCTCCGTGGCCTCAGATGCACAGACCCCCTGGGCCTCTCCGTGGCCTCAGATACACAGACCCCCCGGGCCTCTCCGTGGCCTCAGATGCACAGACCCTTGGGCATTTCCACAGCATGACATGTCCTGATCAAAGCAGCGCCACACAGGGAACCGAGCACATCTCCCTCCATTTGTAAGGACACCACTCTTCTCACTACACCATTGGTTCCCGCAGAACCTGTTCCTGCTAACCAATCGCCTCAGGCCTTTTTCACATGATCTACTTTTAAATCACTTTTCCATTCTGCACTTCCATAGTCGGTTTTTGGAACACAAATATGGGATTATGTGTGTGCCCAGCTGTTAAGATTTCATTTTATTGCAGCTTCTACTCATCGTCAAGCAAGTTCACATTCCTGATGAGTCCGATTTGGCCACCTGACTGTTAGCTATGCCTCCCAGCGTTGAGACTGCTGAATGGATAAACAAGCCTTCAATGTGTCCATTAGAAACATCGAACGAGACAGAGCCAAGGCAGATCCCCTTGGTAAAAAAAAAAAAACACACCTCATTTTACAGAGCGACCTGTTTCACACACCCAGCAGCCTTCATGGGATAATAATGTGCTCCTCTGGTATTTAAGTTCAATTCTCTTCTATTTCTTTGAAAAGAAAAACACTCAATTGCTTGCATAATGCAGAAATAAGTCCCCATCATAGTGTATCTGTGGGTCATTGTGGGGCAGAGAGCGTGCCTGCAGCATCTCTGGGTACACACCTGGCGAAAGGTGAGGATTAAGAGGACATGGAGTCTGGCAAGCCCCCTGATAAATGGTAGCTGGTTATTGTGAACCAGAGGCCCGGTGCACGAAATTCATGCACGGGTAGGGTCCCTAGGGCTGGCTGGTGATCAGGGCCGATCTGTGGGGTGACCGGTGGGGTGATTGGGGCCCCCACACACACCCGGCTTGGCCTGGTGCTGCCCGCTCACCTGCTCCAACATCCCACCGCAGTCCTGCCCTCATTGGGGCCCATCAGGGCTGGCAGTGCCTCCACTGCTGCCTGCTGCCAGTCCCGCATCGCCGACACCTACCATGTTCTGCATTGCCCCCTGGTAGTCAGCGCACATCGAACTCCCGGTCAATCAAACTCCTGCCTGTGGGGATAATTTGCATATTAGGCTTTTATTACATAGGATTCTTGGGAATGATTATTATCATAGACCATGTGTCCCCCCAAAATTTGTATGTTGAAACCTAACCCCCAATACGATGGTACTGGGAGGCGGAGCCTTTGGGAGGTGATTAGTCTGCTCTCCCTGAATGCGATTAGTGCTCTTTAAAGCAGATGCCCGGGAGCTCCTTCGCCCCTTCCATCGTGTGGGGGGACACGGCGGGAGGACAGGGACACGGCGGGAGGACAGGGACACGGCGGGAGGACAGCGGAATCAGAAAGCGGGTCCTCGCCAGACACCAAATCTACCAGCACCTTGATTTTGGCTTCTCCACATCCAGAGCAGAGAGAAAGATATTTCTGTTCATAAGCCACCCTGTGCATGGCATTTTGTTAAAGCCGCTCGCGTGGACTAAGACAGGCTGATGGAGGTCACCTTGTCCTGTGAGGGCGGGACAGAGCCAGGCCTTGGTAATGGGTTAAGCTCTGGACCACATGGAAGCAATTCTGTCTGTCCCCAATCCCAGGACCGTACAGCGTGTTGCTGCCAACCTTGGGCCATCAGAGTTTATTCAGTCTCCCACTCGGGCAGCTGCTTATTCCCCCGACTTACAATGAAGAAACTCCAGGAAGGTTTTCCGACTCCCATGCTGACGCTGGCCCTCCACGCCGCAAGGTTGGCTATTTTAATTTGCTTTGTAACTCCGTCACGCATGCATTTACTCATCTTAGCCCTGCCAGGCCCTGCTAACTCCTGGAGGCCGGCGAATAATGGAGTGATCGCCTTTCTGGGGCCTCCAGAGGGCTCTGCAAACAGTACATGCTCACAAAATGTTTGGGAATTAGCAGCAAGCCAGAAACAGCGAGCTTAACCTGCTTGGGCCCCACTGTGCTCAGAGGACCCAGGAAGGGTAGGGCTGCAGGCACCAGTTGGCAGCCGGGATAGAGTGAGAAGGGCTGTGGGGGAGGCAGCTCAGGAGGCAGGAAGGCAGGTGCACTGGGGTGTACGTCTCCCACCCAGGCGCCGACTATGGGCTTGTAGGCAGGCAGGTGTCAGCAGAGGGGCGCAGGGATAACCCCTGAGCATTGCATCTGGCAGGGGAGGGCGTGAGTTCCCTGGGCCCTTTCCCAGGCCCTTCATGGAGTCTGAGCAGCCTGCCCTGCCCTGCCCTGGCGGGAAGATGGGAGCAAGGAGGCAGCCGAGTGTGCAGAGCAGGAAGGGGCTTGTGTGTTTGGTCCCGGAGGGAGAGACAGAATTAGGTCTCCCAGCTGTGTGCAGGTGTGGAGCCCTGCCCTCGCCCTGCCCCCAACCAAGAGGTTGGAATTACTCGTCCTCTCCCTCCCTCCCCCAG